ATGTTTTTTTCTGTTGTAATGGATAATACTGACAGAGAACCAAGCTTTTAATGAAGCTGTTCTGTGTTGATCTGATGAGGAGAGCAACTTAGTAATGAAACATTGACTTTAGGGGGAAAACTTCTGAATTCAGCAATCCTGGATTTGTAAGCAGAGGTTAGGGAGACATCATTGGAGCCCAGAATTTTCTTCAGATCAAGAATACTCTGTTTTACATCAGAATTAATCTGTTTTGTTTCTTTTTTCCTGTTTATTTACTATATCCAGGTGTTTGTTGACAACGATGTTAATTTCTTTGTGCCAGTCTTCTCCTTGTTTGGTGACAGCTGTTGTCAGTTTCTCATAATGTTTTTCAAGGTTTACTTTTTCAGAGTTTAACTCTTATGTAATTTCTTCGTATGCAGGATAGATTCTTTTCCCTAGTTCTATCAAATGGTTTTTTTTTCTAAACCCTTTTTCTTATAATCTTTTTTTTCAGAATATCTGTAACTTTCTGTCCATGATGTTTCTCAGAGGAGATGCAGGTAGAACAGACAGAAATGTCACATTTCTCATAGTTACATTGTTTCTTGGAATGGTTTGGATATTCTGGGTAGTTAGGATTAGAAGTTCTGTGTTTGTTCGGTACATCCTTGTGTCTTTGGGATGAATCAGAGAGAGATGCTCCCCTACACATGCCTTACACAGGTTAATCTGACAAAGTTCACATTTACTTTGTAACGCTGGTCTTTGACACAGGTCACAGAGGAGGATGTCTTGGGCACTGTAACGCGGATCCATTATAGTCTTCTCAAATGACCAAGTCTAGATTATATTGTAAAAAAAAATAAAAATTTTAAAGTTCTTTGATGAAGATTTTATTTTTATGCTTTGTGCAAACTTAAATAACAATATTAATAAGTAGGTAAAATGGAAATATTTTATAGTATTAAAATATGTGTTAATCATGGTAATAAGTACTTAACATGTAAAAAAAAAATTATCAAGAGTGCAAATCATTGAATGAAAGAGCTTGACTATATGACAAAATTAAGCAAGAAGAATAATTCATAAATTTTGAAAGAGCTCGCCAGTTTTAAGAAAAGGTCAATTCTATCTTGGGTTTGTGTTTACAGATTAAAAACTGTTGTCATCATCACTGAAATTATAAATCTCTCAAAGAGAATATGTTTAGTAAGGTCAGGGTTTCAAATTTGTAAATTTACGAGATGGTTATACCTGTGATTCAACTATATTTTACCATAACAAAGGTGAAGTATTATTTGCCTCTCCAAGAAGGAAATTTAATAAACAAGTATCATCTTGTACCTGGTCACTACAAAACTATATAATGAATTTACCCCACCGATTTCATTATAATGTATTCAGGTGTCTGTGGTTTTTAAAATTGTTTCTTTCCCTTATATGTTTCATTACTCTGTACAGTGCCTATGGTGATGCCATTTGCTATGCGTAATATTGTTTTGTGTGTGTTTTGTGTGCAGTAATAACTTACAGTTTTGAAGAATTTTAGTATGAGGAGAAAAGGGATTTCTAATTTTTCCTCATTACTGACCTTGGTTAACTTTGTATCTGTCAACAGACACTCGACAAGCCTCTTGTTTAATAACAAGCAACCAAAAAAAAAAAAAAAAAAAAAAAAAAAAAAAAAAAAAAAAAAGAAATTCTAGTTATTCTAAGTGTAACAAAAGATAAGACAACTCCAAATTGACCATGAGCGCTCATTGATTTTCTAGTGACCATATGTAAGTATTGCACTGCCTTCACTTGACAGACTTCAATCAGTCTTAAGTCAGAATTTTATTTAAAAAAATCGGAGATGGGATAATGTGATCTGAAAACCCTATGCTTAGACCATCACTGCCTCTTATGTACAGGTACAGTATAATTATGGATAATTATACATATGTATTGTTCTTTCTTTTTTAAAGGTTTCCACTTTTAATAGAATTTTTTTTTTAAATTCAGGTAGAAGACAGTTATACAAAAATGGGTGAAATTAAAAATGAAGTAATATCCTACCTGTAAAATCAAAATGGCTCCCTAAGAACTGTCTGACAAACTACCTCCCGGTGATGGCCTGTTGCTAGGCCATGTGATTTAAATACCTGCCAATGTATAGACCTTTTAAATAATTTTTCTGTTTGCACCTTTGGTATAAATAATGACAGATAGATTTAAATGTACATATTTTCAAACTAGAGTACATGTATATTCTAGATGTATTGATCAAATAATAAAAAACATTGATTTTTACAATGTGTTTAAAAGAAAGGTAACTCAAGTGTAAAAAAAAAAAAAAACTATATACAATGTATCTTTTTAGCTTGAATTATATCATATTCAGAAATATGATTGAAATTGCTAAATTAGATAAAAGTTGCTGTTTTCGCTCTACCGGTGAAAGACCTGAGTAATATAATATAATCAAATCAAATCGTAAATTACCTTCATTGAAAACTTCTGGTGGAAAAAAATAAGTGTGAATAAAATTTACTTGCTTTACTAACATAGATTAGGATTGTTAAATAAAAGTATCACTGTCTTTATTTGCAGATGCAACACATTATTCAAAATGAGGTTTGTGTGAAGATCACTGCGCTTTTCCAGGAGGAACGCAAGAACAATGCCACAGGGGGACGAGTTGCTACTGTTCACCAGCGGTCAGCCAAGGAGAGCACCTACCAGGAAAATGCCGAACAGTGTCTCAGCGAGGAAAATTGCTTCATAGTTGTCATTGTAAGTGGGAGAAAAAAAGGAGGGGGTAACAGGATCTCAGGGAGGGAACTTGCTTTATGACTAGTTATAAAAGAGTAAGTTTACAGTCTACTATTTTGTAACTTTTGATATTTTCAATAATTCAAGAAAGAATGTAAGTTGACCTTTGAACTCCTGGACACTGACCATGAGCAGTCTGATGATCCAATAGAAGTGGAGCGTTGGTCTAAGTGTCACAGGTGGTGAAAAATCAAGTCTCAACCGGGACTCGAACCCAGGGCCTCTGGCGTACCGTGCCAGCGCTCTAACCACTAAGCTATTGAGACCTGATATATTGACTGACTTTCACGCACCTGTGAACCCGGTGACATAAGTATGTAGAGAAGTACGTCTCCAAGGACGACACTGTGTCAGAGGACCTTAAAGAATGCCTTCACGGAACAATCACTTGACGCTTTATAACGTTAGTTGACGTGACAACCTGATTCCAGACCAGTTAAGCCTTTTCACAGTTCTAAATATCTTTCATTTCTATAGACTTTTCATGTCTTTTTCTTACTTAAAAATTGAAAAACCATACGCAGCTATGTTAAGGCTTAAGTGTTGCACATAAATCGCTTCTGCGCAGCTGATTAACACTATAATTATTAAAATTTTGTTATATAAATAAACTCATCGTATCCTTGTGTACCCGAAATGTGCTTAGGAAAAGTCATAGTATAACTTGGGTACAAAATATTTCGTGAGAAATTCAACTTACCTACAAATTTGAGGGTATTTTCCATACAATGTCGTAATCTGTATTTAAACAAAGCCATCACACATTTTTCCCAAGCAAGATTCAGTTAGAGAACAACCTCTTCTTACAGATTTCCGCAAAAAATCTTAGATTAGTCCATATTAATCATCTGCGCCAGACTCTTTTATGCACACAAAATACTACCTCTAATCACGGGTAAAACACAGAACACATTTCAAAAGTATATTTTTCGTAAGCATTTTGAACATGCTAAATTTTAATCAAGGGTAAGTAAGCGATGTATTTATAACATGTTCGGACATATAAGACTTAAAAATCCTTTAACGACCCGTGAATTTTGCAATAGATATCTAGCATGTTACATGCAGTTTCAAATAAAGTGTAAAGTTCATGACACTCTCCCCGTCATAACGCTTCAAGTTGGCAGTGACTTGACGTCATTTTCCATTATGACGTCATATTTTGGTAGTTCGGAGAAGTGAAGGCATAGAGTGCAATGTGATATTCTATGGGAAGCCTTAATCTACCTGCGTATATCAAGACATGTCATATTTTTTCTAAAATGTCTTTTGTGAGGTATCGGACATTGGTGATATTTGCTTAAAAACAATGTCTACGCAGTTCAGCGATCAAGTATGAAAAACAATTCAAAATTCATGGTTGCAACGTCCATGCGATAAGCAGGATATTGGGGTATCGCAGAAGTTGATATAAAAAATGTCTTACAAAGTTGCTAACACTTCAACACTTTGGTACTAGACATGTGTAGGCAATCCCCAGTTTTTAGTATCTTTCGGGCATTTTCCTGTCTGCATACATAATTTTTTAATTGCTCGGGGCTCCAAGACGTTCAATGACATTATTATTTTTGGCTTTGTTTTTACGCATTGATAATCTATAATTACCAATATAACAGCCATAACTCTTCCAATTTAATTCAAAATTTCGCCAAATGATGTTTTATGAATATTTTAGCAACAGGTGAAATATCATAAAGATTTATAAGCTACAACAGTGCAAGTTTTAATTTTGAAGAAAACGTCTTTGTTATGTTAAGGTGCAAAAAAAAAAAGTAACATGCTCCGTGAAGCATGTTTTATCTAAATAATTTAGCTGTGTATTTTTTAAATATCATCGGAAAACACCAAATCTTTGCATATTAATTGGAAAATATGTATAGTATTTATCTGCAGAGTTTTACAGATTTCATATAAATAGCATGCTTACAATAGAACTTGTCCACGTACTCTTCTAAAGACCCTCGTATGTATCACCGTTATTTTCATTCATTGAAGAGGCACGAGGGGGTTATAGCTGATGAAACCTCAATTATTTCCATTTCAAAACTATAACTCTGTCAAATGGCACATTTGGTGGAGTCTAGCTGTTATGTAACATGAGAAGTGTGTATTAAACACATATGATGTTTAATATCTTAAATTGTCTGCTATAGGAATGTGAGACAATGGCGACTTTACCAGAAGAATCAGAAATCTCGGTCATACACTGAGACAGTGGTCCTCCAAAAAATCCACAGAGGACATGGACATTCCGGACAACACCGAGTGTAAATTTAATTTCAACTCATTCAAAATCGTGTACGTCGTCAACAGCGAGTACTATTTGTACAAAAGTACAGCACTCACCAAGGCAAGGGAGGTAAGTGTACACAAGTAATAAACATTTTAAAAATTCTGTATTGTCTGTCAGCGGTTAGTGAGCTATTCTGATAAAAGTCGGCATCAGTTTGTCTGTCTGTAATTTTTTTCCCCTAAAATCTTAGTTGTAATTGACCTCTAATGATAGTTGACATCATTTTGTAATAACCATGATATACAAAATATTATTATAACTCTATATTACAAATTTTCAATTACTGTATGTTTTTCAAAGATTTTATGTTTGATCATTACAGTCACACAAGAGAGTGTCCCTAAAGCTACATGACAAATTCGCCACATGGATAAATCGCTGGCGGGAGGAAAATCTGATGGAGAATCAAAAGTCAGCTTGTGAGGATTGGCTGATGGGACACACCGAGGATCTGGTAGCGTGTACCACCACGACGGAATCTTGCGGTGCCGAGGATGCCACACCCTACTTCACCTTTAACAAATACAAAGTATACAAAGTGGAGTATGAATACGAGACCAAAAGTGAGGCAGGGGAACCAGTTGAGCCAGTCAAAGAGGCCACTAATTAAGGAGGTTACCAATGAATTTATAGATAACAACCTAGGTTTCAGCAAGTACTTGCTTAATATTATTAAAAGTTAACTACGTGTATAAGAGACAGTAGAATGGATGCATTTGAACAAATCTCTTTTTACAGACATTGTATGATGTATTTCAAAGGGTAATGCATTAAACTTATTGTTATTATTTATATAAGTTGACACTTTCATACAATAATGAATTTCATTTCTTAAAGGTTGCATGTCATTTGATCATGGGAATTTTTAGAATTTATTTACAACTGCCTGTTTATTTCATGTCAACATGCAGGTAATTGCCTTGATAAAAAAAAATTGCAATCTGATTAATTATTTGTAAATGTACCTGAAACAAGAAATTTAATATATGATCTTAAAATGAAGTTGTAAATAAGATTTTCAGTGTATAGACTTCTGTGTTAAATGGAAGAATCCTGTAGGTATTCGTATTTTTTTTTAAATTCAGGAATGTAATTTGATTACTTAGAGAAATACCTAATCCCTTAGTAAAGTTTGTTTGTAATTGTGATCATAAGAGGACTGAGTTATACTTCACGTTTGTTGTATATTTTTATTACGTTACATCTATGAGGCCATCTATCATATGCTCCATGTTTTGGGGTTTAAGTTAAAAATATCTAAATCTCTTAAAATGCATGCAGTCTGTATATTGTTACATCATCTGTTGCAGTGACACAGTGTTACAAATTTGATTACATTTAATAATGTAACATTTTATGTTTCTAAGTCAGCATTTCTTCTGACTTTGCATATTGCATAGACCCATTGTATATTTATTCATGTTACATGTGAGTGATCATATTTTGAGAAGATTCGCTATATGCAAAATCAAAATTTTGTTTCTGCCCACATATTTACGAGGTATGTTTAAAGCATTAAATCGAGCCCTATTCATGACTGCAATAAATGTATAATTCGTCTTCTAAAATTCAAAACAGGTAAAATTTGTCTCCATAAAGGTGTGCTTATATGAACCGCAAATTTTTATTTTCACTGTTAATTATTTTTAATCATTTTTCACATGGTCTCTATAAAGTAAAATCTTCAATTTGTGAACAGAGACTTCATGACAATTACATTATTACATGTAAAGTCTGGGACTGTAATTTTATGACTGGGATATGACATATACCTCTTATTATTGTAAAATAATTGTCTGTAAATAGTCATAAACCTCAGAATTGCAATGTAGATTGTAAGAGATGCAACTTGTAAGTCTGTAGTATTTCATTTTTATTACATATTGCAGTTTAATACGTCTGTCATTGAATTTTCCACACTAATCAAACAGATTGTAAAAGGTAATGTTATTATATATTACAATTATCATTAATTACATTGTAACACTTTTGTACATGAATTTCTCTTTTGGTCAAACTGATGCTGCCTTCTTATCTACCTTAACGTGGTGATCTACATTCACTTTGTTTATCATCTACTTTCACTTTGTGTATGTTTAGTGTAGAAAAAGTGTATTAAAAGTAATAAGTCCAAAATTGTTGTCTTCTTGAAGCCATTCTTCTGAAAATAGCTGAGTGTTATTTCAGGTATGTTCCCAAAACGAAGTTTTGGAATATATTGTTTTTACTTTCTTTTTAGCTCACCTGAGCTAAAAGCTCAAGTGAGCTTTTCTGATCACATTTTGTCTGTAGTCTATCTGTCTGTCTGTGTGTCTGTCTGTCTGTCTGTCCGTCCGTCTGTAAACTTTTCACATTTTTGACTTCTTCTCCAGAACCACTGGGCCAATTTCAACCAAACTTGCCACAAAGCATCCTTGGGTGAAGGGGGTTCAAGTTTGTTCAAAGAAGGGCCACGCCCTCTTCCAAGGGGAGATAATTAAGAATTGGTGAAAATTTGGTGTCATCTTTTAAAAATCTTCTTCTCAAGAACCATTGAGCCAGAAAAGTTTATACTTATGCGAAACCCTTATTTCATAGTGTAGATTCAAGTTTGTTCAAATCATGACCCCCGGGGGTAGGGTGGGGCCACAATGGGGGATCAAAGTTTTACCTAGGAATATATAAGGAAAATTCTTTAAAAATCTTCTTCTCAAGAACAACAAAGCCACAATTAGTCATACTGATATGGAATCATCCTCAGGTAGTGTAGATTCAGATTTGTTCAGATCATGACCCCCAGGGGTAGGTTGGGGCCACAATGGGGGATCAAAGTTTTACATAGGAATATATAGGGAAAATCTTTAAAAATCTTCTTCTCAAGAACAAGAAAGCCACAATTAGTCATATTGATATGGAATCATCCTCAGGTAGTGTAGACTCAAATTTGTTCAAATCGTGACCCCCGGGGGTAGGGTGAGGCTACATTGGGGATCAAATTTTTACATAGGAATATATAGGAAAATTCTTTAAAAACCTTCTTCTCAAGAACAACAAAGCCACAATTAGTCATATTATTATGGAATCATCTTCAAGTAGTGTAGATTCAGATTTGTTCAAAGCATGACCCCCGGGGGTAGGGTGGGGCTACAATGGGGGATCAAATATTTACATAGGAATATATAGGAAAATTCTTTAAAAATCTTCTTCTCAAGAACAACAAAGCCACAATTAGTCATATTGATATGGAATCATCCCCAAATATTGTAGATTCAAGCTTGTTCAAGGCATCCTCCAGTAGTAGGGTGGGGCCATAATGGGGGATCAAAGTTTTACAAAAGAACATACACAGGTGAGTTAAGGCTAGGTATAGGCATTTCTATCCAGATAAACTGATTTAAATGCCTAAGGACTATATCTATTATACAGAGAAAGCTAAAACTTATTTTCTAATACATACTTGGTACCAACGACATGAGATAGCCAGTACACATTATGACGTCATATTATGACGTCATTGTTCTTTACTACACAGGATTATAATGGATATCAACAAAAATGACTTGGCGCAAGGGCATGCTCTATTTTATTTAACTGAAACAAGGTATATTTGGAAGCAAAATATTCCAAAGTTTGCTGGCAATGCTGCACAAATATCAACAGCTCAGTAGTATAATTTCTATTTGTTAAGTTTTAAGTTGAATCAGGGTAAAAATATACAGTCCGGTATAAGTTTCCTCAAATTCCAATCAAATGAGAAAATGCCTAGGATTTGTGCAGCAGTTTTATTAATCTATAGAATATTCTTCTTAGCATAACACGGTTTCTATGTAAAAATAAATAGGGTAATCCCTTGCGCCGAAGCTGTTTTGTTGATGTGTTTTATTACCTCCAGTAGGTAAGATCAATGACGTCATAATATGACGTCATAATGTGTACTGGCTGTAACATTTCGTGGGTACTAAGTATGCATAAGAAAATAAATCAACACTTTCTCTGAATAATAAATATACCTCTCATGCATTTTTACTAGCTCATTTGCATAGAAACGCCTATGCCTAGCCTTAACTCACATGCGTATACAGGAAATATCTTTAAAAATCTTCTTCAATCTCAAGAACAACAAAGCCATGATCAGTCATATTGATATGGAAGCATCCTCAGGTAGTGTACATTCAATTTTGTTCAAATCATGACCCCCCCCCCCCCTCGGTAGGGTGTTAGACATATTTAAAATTCTGTTTTAAAGAACAGCAAAATCATGATTAGTTATCTGAAGATAGAAGCATCCTCAGAAGGTTTATATTCAATTTCATTCAAAACATGGCACCTTGGGGTAGGGTATGCCTAGAACAGGCGATCAAAGCTTTATATATGAATATGTAGGAGAAATATAGGAGAAGAAAACTGCTAACGAAGAACAGCAGGGCCATATTGACTCAGGTGAGCGTTGTGGCCCATGGGCCTCTTGTTTAAAATTCTTCTCCAGTACTTTTTTGCCCACAAGTGTTCTCAGAAACTACTCATCCAGTTGACATGAACTTTTTTTTAACATGCATGCGGAACAAAGGTCATTTTGCGCTCACGTGATGACTGGTATAATTGAAACAGCATTTACTTTCCTATTTTTTTATGATATGCTTTGAACATCAGTATAATAACTTAAATTAGTGGTGTAATCGAGGTGATGTAAGGAAACTAGCAAAAGCAGTATGATCATACACGTGCTCTTCACTCTGATTGGCTGAGAAAAAATCTCTCAATAAATTCCTTGTTTTTTGACGAAATACAATGGAATTTAAAGTATTGGCATATATTATAAAGTTCTACAAAAAATGTATTGGAGAATTCTTGAAAATTTGCGCATGTACGTGTGCTGCAATTTAATTGGTTGAAACTTAAATGGCTATAAATTTCTTAGTTTTGAAAAAAGGACGACATTTTGAAAGTAAATCTATAGGCGTAGTGCATCCTTACATTATGCTATTATCAAACCTGAATGCAAAGACATGTATGTATGTGTGCTAAATTCTGATCGGCTAATACTTACTTGGTTATATCTTGCTTATTATTTGATATTTTTAACATGTAGGTAAATATTGTGAGATACTAAAAGAAAATATATGTGAAAAATCTAGAAAATATGTGCAAGCACACGCACTGATATGTGATAGGTTAATACCCGTGCGGCTATATCGGAGTAGTTTTCTGATAAATTAGTCTGGAAAATAAAGTGCGAATCTATAATACAAAAGTATTGCTTAATTTAATGAAGCTTGTGGGGAATGTGACGCCAAAAGGGAGTGGGGAGCAATGTTGGGAACATCTTCTCCCGTTACAATTAGCTCTCGTTTTGCTTGGTTTATACAGGGAAGTTTATAGCTATTATTCTGTATGTCTATATACTGCCAGACCATACCAGACTAAGAATAGAAACTTTTTTGGCAGTAGACTTGTAATGCAGACAATGTAAAACTGATACGTCACTGAGATGTTTTGTGATGTTAAAATCTCCCCTGGTTGTGAGCCCATGACAGAAGCTGTTCCAGAACCTGGAGGATCTTTTGGCCGAGTTTGGTTAGTTCCTGCCGGACGTCATCTTATGGAGGACATGTAAGTACTGGGGAAATATGA